CCCCCCGCAGCTGAGAGGGGAAGAGTGCTGCATGAGTTAAGAGGGCTTCCTGTATCGCTTTTGGGGTTCCCAAGGGCCTCAATTCCTGCACACAGAAGAGAAGCCTGCACCCCAGGCCTGCCAGAGCAGCGAAGGAGGAGAAAATGTGCCCTTATGTGGGCTTACTGCTCCGAGCACAGGGCAGGGTGGCAGGGACGCTCAGTTTCTAAGCCCCAAACCACACTCCAGTCCCCTCAATTAGAGGGCTTCCTGTATCGCTTTTGGGGTTCCCAAGGGCCTCAATTCCTGCACACAGAAGAGAAGCCTGCACCCCAGGCCTGCCAGAGCAGCGAAGGAGGAGAAAATGTGCCCTTATGTGGGCTTACTGCTCCGAGCACAGGGCAGGGTGGCAGGGACGCTCAGTTTCTAAGCCCCAAACCACACTCCAGTCCCCTCAATTGCCTCTGTTGGAGCTGCACAAGCAGGGTTAACACGCCTGCCATACAGGCAGACTCTGGACTCCAGAGCACTTGGCAGAGGCTTTGCCAGCGAACCTGGGATGGCAGCAGGACCTCCTCCGTTTCCCCCTCTGCCCGCGCTGGCGTGGGGAAACGAGACAGTGCCAATCATTTCCCAATGGAGCGCCTCATCCCACGACTCCCGGCCGATCCTGGGTCACACTGTCCTGGGTCACTCTATCAGAACGCGGGCTGGGCGCTGATAAGAAGGAAGGCCAGGAGGAGGGCAAGGCGAGTTTTTCTTTTGCGTAAACAAAGCCAATGCCCCGGGGAAGCCTGATGAGGGGCGGGAAGCAGCCACAGCACGAGGGGTTGTGCTGGCACCAGAGGGGCTGCCAAAGGCACCGATCAGTTTAAACAGAAGGGACGGACCATCGCTGTAATCTGGCGGCAGGCAACTTTGCTGAACACTTGCCACAGCTGCAGAGCGACTGTAGGAGGCCCTGCCGTCCTCCCGTAGCAACCGGCGCGGCCCCTCTCAGAGCGGTTAGGCCAGTGGGAGACATTACACATCACAGCACCCCCCAGGGAGATAGAGGAAGGAGCGCTGGGTCTAATTTAATAATAGAAACTGATGCACGGAGAGGGGAAGCAACAAGACAAAGGTCAGAGCGACTGAGTGTCAGAAATAGACCCCAGGCATCTTGCCTGCTAGCCCCTGGCTCGAGCCTATGCGGAGCCAGCAGCCGCGAGTAAAGGGTTCCCCAGAGCACGAGGCCATTAACAGCTAGCACGGATGTGTCGGGAGTTTCCGTCCCTCTCGTTTCTGTGCCAGAGAGAAATCAAGGTCAAGCAGCAGGACGTCCCATCAGCATGCTTCCCCGACTGCTCCCTCCTGGTACATTTCCAAAGCCCCTTCCAAACCAGAGGCTCTAACAAAGCACTCTGTCCACTCCTGACATGCAGCCATTTCTGGGGTGGAGCATGGCAACTTGTAACTGTTCAGGACAAGAAGGGGGGGAAAAAAAAAAAAAAAAAAGGTCCGTTTCGTAAAACAGAATAGCTGCCCGCCTCAAAGTGTGGCCACGACTCACGGGCGACACCCCTCTCCTTGCGCAAGGCGTCACGGGGAATTTGACCGACCGTGTCCAAGGAATCTGTGTCTTATTTCAATTCTAGTCCCAGGCCTCAGGTTACGAGGGCACATGGCATGAGGTAGGAAAAGCAGCCATGCCTGAAAATAAGTCTTCAGACACTAAGGGAGTCTAGATTTAAGGGGCAACCTCAGAAACGTCTGCCATCCGGCCAGTTCACCAAGGGGAAAGAAATGACTAACAGGGCATTCAGGACATACACTGTGGGTATTTTAGTTCAGTATGAAGCTGGATCTTCAATTCCTGCCACCAGGTCAGGATTAACAGAACCTGGCTGTAGTCAGCTGCAACCAGATTTTAATCCCCTAATACAGGAAAGTTTTGCGTCCTAAGGGTGTGTTCACACAGCACCCTCAACCCGAAATATGATATGCTTTTTGCATAGCGCAAATTGCGTATTTTACTTCAAATCTATTTTGAAATAGCTTATTTTGAGATTTGGGGCATCTACTCAGCGCCAAATTTCGAAAAAACGTGCTATTTTGAGACATCTCTTATCCCGCGTGGAATGAGGGTGATGGGGATGCCCAAAGAGCGCTCCTATTATTTCGAAAAATATTTCAAAGTAACGGGCGGCTTGTGTCGATGCGGGGTATCTATTTCGGGATGCCTCCGGTACCCCGAAATAGCCGTGCAGTGTAGACTTACTTTGTTGTGAAAGGAACCGGTTGGGGAGAAACCTACGGCCTATGGAAGCCAGGCCCGGCTGTCGTCCCGCAGAGACAGCACAGCCACCTCGGCCTAAGTTAGTTCTTGGAGGACAGGTCTGTGCTGCCCCTCCACACAGCCTCCTATGTCTAGGACAGACCAGAGCAAGAGGGGGACGGAAAAGTAAGCCAGATGGGTCAGCTGGTCCCTTCACATGCGTATGCAGAAGGACCCTGGGCAGTCAGAAGGAAGGGAGTTTAAGTTGGAGGCAGCATGTGACCCCTGCACCTTATGAAAACCGATCTGGTTATGGGCCGGGAGCCAAGCTGATTTCTCCACGCTGGTCAGATTAAGGCCATGGCACGTCAGCAGGCAGCACAAGGCGACCCAGAGCCTCAGAGGTAGGGAGGGGAAAGGTTAACGGGGTTAATCAGTAAGCCTCATCAGCGGGTGATGCTTTCTGGCTCTAGTTAGCCAGACAGGGCAACTCTCCACCCACTATGAGCGGGGGGCTGCTCCAGCCCCACGGGACCCACGGCAGATTCCGGAGCAGTCACTGCCTGTGGTGGGGAGGCCTCTCCAGCTCAGCCCGTTTAACCAAGTAAATGGGATTTTACATCCCTCGTCAGAGGGAGGCAGCTGGCTGGGTCATTGCTCTCGCTGAGCCTCGGGCCCCTGCTGTGAGATGGGAAAGTCTGGCATTCCAGCCACCCTCTGCACAGCCTGGCTAGCTGCAGCTCCCCGCCAGTCCTTGGCCAGTACCACAGCCAGGAAGGATGGGGCTGGAAGACGAGGTGCCATTCTGTCTCTATGGGGCTGCACGCTTAGCCACGCCAGCCAGCTGAGGAAATGGCTCACTCCTCGTCCTCCCCCCACAAGGCGCTATGTCCCTTCCACGCACCCAACAATAAGGAGAAACCAAGGAGACTGGTTTCCCCAAGCGAAAGAGCAAACAAAGTCCGGCCTGCACAGACATGAGCTTCTTCCCACTTAGCCTTCGCCTCTGGCAGAACTGCAGCTTCTTCTGCTCCCCCCTAGCACGAGGGGGAAAGCTTGTTCCCCCGTCAGCTGGAGACACAGACTGGAGCTGGGCTTCGGCAGCCGGCGCGGTGTGCCAGCCAGTACTTGGCACATCATCCCTGGCCAGCTCTCTGCTGGCTTCTTAGGAGCGAGGGGAGCAGGGCCAAGCGTGGCAGAGGCTCGATTCAAGGAGCAATGGGAACGGTTCTAGGCAGCGGGGGGAGTGGCAGGATGCCCCCTCTGCTTCACTGCACATAAGCTCAGCCACAAACTACAGGTGGAACCTCCCAAATCTGGGACTCTCTGGTCCAGCAACGTCTGTGGTCTGGCAGGGTCACGGATATTGCCAGATCAAACAGCAGCGGAAGCTGGGACTGGAAGCCAGCTAAGAGAATGCGGCGGCTGAGGAGCCCCGATTGGGCCAGCAGCTGTTGGGGAGCTCCCCCATCAGCAGGGCCAGGAGGGGACTGGAGAGACCCAGCCCCAGCTAGGAAATCCCTGGCACCAGTGAAGCTGGTGTGGCGGGCGCCCTGGCTGAGGAACCCAGGAAACTAGGGGTGTTAACTTTAGATTAATGAACTAATTGAACAGTTGATGGGATTTCCATCGACTATTCGATTAGTCGATAAGGGCGCCTCCGTCTTTGAACTGTAGCTCCGGTTCAAGAGTGGAAGCCCCGCAGGGAGCACCCGAGGTTTTGAAATGTACAAAAGGCCCAGTGAGGTTCCTGCCGGTGGGGCAGTCCCTGCTGGCCCCCTGCAGGGCTTCTGCTTTTGAAATGTACAAGAGCCCTACTGGGGCTCTTGTATATTTCAAAAGCAGAACTGCAGCAGAACCAGCAGGAGCAGAGGCTGCTTCAGTCCCCGCTCGCGGCGTTTCCCACTGTGGCTCTACCTCCCCTGCGTTGCGGAGACAGTGCTGGGGGGAACCAGTTTTTAAGCCAGCTCCCCCCAGCACTGGCTCCTGCTCCCCGCCCCCCTTTATGCCTCTCTCTGATAGAGGGAGCAAGGTGGGGGAAGCGACTAGTCGCAACACTAGTCGACTGTCCGATAAGCTTATGCTTACCAGATAGTCGACTAGTTGCTCACATCCCTACAGGAGACCCCTGGGCGAGGCAGGACTGGCAGAAGCCGGGCGGCCCAGGGCTGGGGAACCCCAGTGGCAGCAGCCAGGCAGGGAGCCCCAGAGAGCGGAGTCCGGGAGTGGGACAGCAGGGAGCATTTATCTCCCTTGGTCCGGCAAACTCCATGGCTTGGGACTAGTGAGGTCCAACCTGCAATGCACATGGAGCCTCTTTCCCGCTACCCGCCCTGATGCTGGGCACGAGCCCTGATTGGGAGGTGGGGGCTGGAGAGGACTCCACACACCTCTCTGCCAACCAGACACCTAGTCCCCGGCCACTGAGCTCGCGGGGGCCTGGAAAAGATCCGCGTGGCAATGCAGCGGCGGCACAGAGCAGGAGAGGGGCTGCAGCACCAACAGCAGAAGACACAGCCAAGGATCGTTTGAGAGCTGCTTCTGCCTCCACAGATCAGCCATGAATGTGGCCTGCCGGCTTCAGGGTACAGCTGGGGATATGGGAGACGCAGAGCAGGGAGGCAGGGGAGCAGCAGGTGTTGATGGGCAGAGGCCGAGACATGCACAACTCTCCCCCTGCTTTCTGCTACCGGTGCCCCCTGCTTTCATCCACTCCGACAGCGCTGCAATAGTTCCCATCCAGGCCTTGCCCCTCCCCTCCCCCCAAATCATCCTGGACCAGCTCAGCCATTTCTGAGCAGTTTCCTGCACTCCTGTACCCTGACGAGCAGGTCCGGGCTGTTTGCTGAGAAAGCTGCACCTCTGACTGTGTTAATTCTATGGGTGGGGAGAGTGAAGAGGGAGCAGCTGGCACCGTTGTGCTTTAAGAATCACAGCTGTGGGCCCATTGTGGGCTGTGCGGTGAGGCACAAACAGCCAGCCGTTCCCTGTGAGCACGGCCTGGAAGAATGCGCGTTATGGAAAGGGAGGAGAATTTCCAACCCGTAACAGGAAAGCATTCCGGGCCTACTGCGCCGCTCAGCTGCAGGGACAGAACATCGCACGGGTGCCAGACGGCTGACGAGAAGCAGCCCCGTCGTAACTGGGCTACCGTGGAATTAGGGAGCTCGGCCGAGGCCTGTCTTTGCCGTCTGGAGCCCCTGCCTCCATCTCAGTCCACTGCTCAATGGCTCATCCCAGGACACTCACATAGAGGCAATGCCCACTCTTGCCCTTCTATTGACTTCCGGAGGCTTTCAACCAGGATGCTAGGGCTCTCAGCAGGATTCCCCTGGACAGGAGAGCTTGCCTCCATCCTTGCCTCTGCAGCATGCGTCTCTCCAAGCACAGCAGCCTTGGCCCATCCTATTGCTGGGACCTTTCTGGCTTCAGTTTCCTGAAGAATCAAACTCTCCCAGCTACACATGCTCATCCCCGTTCTGGAGCCAGGGATGCTTCCAGGCAGAGCAGCATGCTAGGCAGGGGACAGCTGAAAAGAAGGGGATCTGACACAGTCTTTCATATTCAGCCCCGCTACTGAACTGCCAAGCTCCTGCGCAAGTGGACAGAGAGCAATTTCCTGCAATATTCTGGACACCCCTTAACGAATTAAGTGCCTCTGGGATGGGTCTGTCACACTAAAGAGCAGTGGTTTGTGTGCTATTGTAGGAGTGCACGCAACTCGTCCAGGAGACGGATGAATGGGAACCAGGAGAAATGTTAGACACTGTAAAAGGTTTGGGTCCCTGTGTGTGAAGTGGGCTTCACGGGCAGTACTAGAGAAGCCTTTTTAAACTATGCCCTGGGGAGAAAAACCCACTGTCTACTGACTACCTACTCCTGGAAAACTCCAGCTCAAAGACCCCTGAACTGTAGAAGAGAAGAATTAAACCTCACATGAGCATGCTCGTGCTGAGCCAAGCCTGTTACGAATCTGTGGCCAAAGAAGAGACCCTCTGTGGGGTTTAACGGGCAGAGCCCATGTCAGAGTTGGGGGGAGTCGCAAGGAAGCTTATTAGCCTGCGTGTAAGTTCTTTTATCGTCTTTAGGAGGTTTTCTTGGTCGTGTTTTTACCCTGTGAATAAATAAGCTTGCAGAGAAAAAGCAGGGTAGGACCCTATGGTCAGCTACTCGGGTATTCATCTCTGGGCTGGTGTCTGCTTCCAATGGTTCTCAACCTATTTACTATGGTGGACCACACCCAATAGAACAGTGTTTCTTAAACTGCGTTCCGTGGCACACCGGTGTGCCGCGAAGCAGTTAGAGATATGCCGCGGAAAACAGAATTCAAAATGGCTGCCCTTAAAGGGCCAGGCGACCTTTTGGGTTTTTTTGTTCAATAACTTCTCCCCAACCCTTTTTCCCGCCCCCCTCAAAAACGTCCCCCCCCCCCTTTCCCCC